CAAGGTACAGATTCCTCATGAGTACAATCAAGTGCTCGGGAATTCCCATTCTTCTCAATGTTATCCATAATTTGTCATGATCCACACAATCAAATGCTACACTATTATCACTTTGCAAATCTTAATCAGTTTCTATGTAATAGAGTACACATATTTAAATAAGTCTATGATTCTTTTTCTTTTTAAAATATTGTAATCAATAAATAAGGAAGAAATTTATTTGGTAACAAAAAGTAAAGGTAAGAATAACAAACTGATAGTTTCCTAAAAGATTCATAACTCAAATTTGAGTCCAAACTGAGTTTAACATTACCATGATTATATTTTCTCTAAATATTATTAATATTTAGCCAAGAATTTACTCTTATTGTGCTTTGAATATGAACTAAGGTGTAAGGGAATAGATAAGGCATTTCTACTCAATTTCTGATAAGAGGAAATTTTTAATTATAATTAATTCCTTAATAATTAATGAAAAATAATTATAATCAAATATATACCCCCTTTAATAGTCAGGGTCAAAATTTAAGAAAGAAGAATGCAAAGATTTGATCATTTTTTTGCATTATGTTGACTATTTATTTGGTTCTTATTTTCTTGGATGTGTATCTTTACCCACTGATAGAATCCAAAGCAGGAAATCAAGAAGGTGATTCAGTTTCTAGGAAAGAAGTTAAATGATAAGATTTTGGATAGGATAATTCATCACACCTCATTTGAAATGATGAAGGACAACCCTCTGGTAAATTACACACACATTCCAAGTATAGTGATGGATCACAGCAAATCCTCTTTTATGCGCAAAGGTGAATATTTTTATAAGTTTTAATTTTTCTCTTTACTTTCTTATGAATTGTGCTGAGATAATGACTAGCTGTGTAATCTTCACCAAATGATTTAACTTGTCTAGCCATTAATTTCTTCTCTCCATAAAGACACTAAAAATGTCTATCATAAAAAATTTGCTGAGTAGATTAGAAATTGTTAGATAAAATATATATGTGAAGCTGTTAGCAGAATAATTTAAGTTCTTGATAAATATTTCTCCTCCTTTTTTATTCTTCTGCTAAGTGAAAGTGGTTTTGACAATGGTGATGTGAACCATTCAAAATTTGTCATTTTTAGTCCCTTAAACTTTTGTCCAATTTGGCATGGGTTTTCTTCTCTCCTCAATAGTAACTAATATCAGTTAATACAATATCATATTCTTTGAAGTCCCTGTATCATTTAGAAAACAATGGTCATTCTTTTAAAAATACCCCAAAAAGAAAACTTTTTTCTTTTAATCATATGGGAAGTTTTGTTTCTTGAAAAAAATCTGCCTGAATTATGAGCAGTGTAGAATACAAATTTAACCTAGAAAGATGACAGCAGAAAAATATGATATTTATTGTGAAACACAGGTTTACCTTCACTTAAGCAGGTGGCTAGAGTGGCTTATTATGTTCATATATGGTATGTGCAAAAATTGTGTTTTAATAGAATAATATATTTAACAAATTTTTTAACAAATAATTTGAAAAATTATCCACTTAATAACACTGCCCATTATTTTTAATATTCTTTATTGAATTAGAGGGAAAAGAGCAGAATTTCACTTAATGTGCTGGGAAATAAACAACTCTAAGAATATATTAGGCATATGAATATAGTATCAAAACTCGTTTGTTTGTTTGTTTGTTTTTGCTTTTTTATTTTATTAAAAAAAAGAAAAAGTATTATAAAGAATTTTAAACAGAAAACAATGAACCTGCCTGTGCCCATAACCTAGCTTCAAAAACTATCAATTAATGGCTAATTTTTTTCTTTTTCTTTTGATGTTATAGTTATTTTTTCTTTGAAATATTTTCACCCATATGAAAATTGTTAATTATCCTTAGTTTTAAAGGAGCTATATGCTTTAATTTGTTTTTAAAATTATGTTTGTATAGTTTAAAATATCAAATAGTCCTACTATTTGCAAATTATATCTCTGTTTTTTCTGTTTGGAGATTTCTCCCAAAAGCACTGCATTTAACTTCTAAAAACAACCTCATTTAAGAGCATGGGAAAAATTTCATTGTAAATGGTGCATCATAAGGTTGAATAGAAAACACTAAAAGAATCTCAGGAAATGATTGTATAGCTCATAAGTTTGGACAAGAAAATTAATCCTTTGAGAATTTATTTAAAAGTCCAGGTTTGGGTTAAATTATAAGCCGTATTTCCAGCCCAATTTATTGGAAGAACAATAAAAATGAAATGACATTACAAAATATTCATATACAAGGAAAGTATTTCTTTAAATCTTTTAACCTTTTCTTCTTGGTATACGCTAGCTTTTCCTTCATAATGGAAATATTTTTCTCTTTCATGTTTCCTTATTTTTATTTTTAGGAATTGCAGGTGACTGGAAAAATTACTTCACAGTGGCCCAAAATGAGAAATTTGATGTTATTTATAAGAAGGAAATGTCTGGAACTGAGCTTCAGTTCCGCACGGAAATTTAAAGGGCATAAGTCTCAAATCTGAAGAAAGAACAAATGGCTTGAAGTTTGTTGAAATGAGGACTATTAAGATTCGATAGACAATCAAATGGATTTATAAAATAGAAAATATACTACTAAAACATTGATTTCTTAATGTCATTAAGCAGGTCTCGGTTTTGTTCTTTTTTTAATTCTGAGTTCTTAAACACCCACAAGCAAGAGCAAGTTATTACCTCTCCGTAGACTATTTCTGTCTTTTCCTAGACTAGTCCTCTCAAGGGAGAAAGTATTGTTCTTACTCAGTTTCCTATGTATTATGACAAAGACTCAAGTCTCCCTCCCAATTAACTTAGCCCAAGACATGCTGTTCACACACTGACACTATATTTGCTAGCTCTGCCCCAGTTGACCTTTGTAGAGATCTTGGCCGAGGACACTGTGTTCCACTGCTGATTAATGGGTTTCCAGTTGTTACGTGAGTCATAGTTCATCCTGTGGTACCTCTAATTGGATAACATGGTTTGTGTCACACAGCTTATGGTTTATATTTTGGAACTGCTGTTTCGTTGTTGTTGTTGTTGTTGTTATATGCTGTCAAGTTGGACCTGACTCATAGCAACCCCTCCTTGGGTTTCCAAGGCATATCACTACGAAAGTAGATTGCCCCATCTTTCTTCCGAGGAGTGGCTGGAGGAGTGGCTACCAGAGCTCTTACATTCTCTAATTTCCCAGTCTCCAAAGGGTAAAGGTATACATTAAGTCAGAAGTTCTTTCCTGGGAACTGCTGGTATTCAGGGCTCCCTGTGGAGTGCCCTTCCAAGTCACAACAGACCTCTCTGAACTTCTGAGAATTATCTACTTCCCTGATCTGGTGGCCATTTGGAAACTTGAGTTACTTTCTCCTGTGTCTGTCAGATTTTTATTCCTTAGTAATTTCTTTAATGGTCCAGATAAGGCTATGCTGTTGTTATTATGTGCCGCTGAGTCAGCCCCGATTCATAGCGACTCTTCCTTGGGTTTCCGAGGAGGTATCACTACCGAAGTAGATTGCCCAACCTTCCCTCCGAGGACTGGCTGGTGGGTTTGAACCGCCAGCCATCTGGTTAGCAGGCAAGTGTCTTAGCCACTATGCTACCAGAGCTCCTATAGACCCTGCCAAAACTTTCCCAGAATGGAGACTAAGGGAGACTTACTAGAGGAATCTCTGCTCCACCCTTATGACTCAATGTCCCCTCTATTTACTACACAGTTGCCCTACACTTATTTCTATCTGCTTGGACTCTTTGTTAGATATTTCCTTGGAATATTTTTTTCTCAACTCCTGCTTTGTCTTAGATGGAGTAGTGTATCTTTCCATGTGCAGCAAGATCTTTCACCTGCAGACTTAATGGCATTGTCAAATTATATAACAAGCGTCATTTCCCAGACTCAAGCTTAGAACGCTCTGGGCCCTTGCACTGGAGGAGAGTTCTGGCACACAAAGACCCTCTAGCCTTAACTGGAGATAGCTGTGACAATGGGGTTCCAGGATTTTCCCTTCATGGTGAATCTCTGCTGTTTGCCTTTATAGCTGGAATAATTCCTCCAGACTGTATCTTCTCTCTTCCCCAACCCTAACAGGGAATTGACCAAGTGCCAACTGTAGATCCCCTCAGGAGTGCAATACTTATGATTCTGGAGATACTTACTTTTATAGATTTATAATAATATAAACAACAACAAAAAAAAAACCTCACTGCCATCGAGTCAGTTGCAGTTCATAATGACTTCTCCTTGGGTTTCCAAGGCAGTTTCTCTACAGAAGTAGATTGCCCAGTCTTCCTTCCAAAGAGTGATTGGTGGGTTTGACCCACTTGCTTTCTAGTTAGCAGTCAAATGCCTTAGGCACTATGCCACCAGAGCTCCCATAATAATATACATTATTAGCTTAGTTGACTTTCTTGTTGGTAAGAATATACTAGAAATCTGAAAACAGTTCACAATACCACTAGGTATTACCCCTAGATAGAGATAAGTGCATTAATTAAGACTAATTCCTATAAAAAATGTTTCTGAAGAACATAAT